ATAGGCCATGGTTGATGAATTAACCATGGGATAAGTTTACTCTGTGCCATGCAATAACAGTGGGTGTGGAGGCCTGCAATGTTCAATGCATCAACCAAGCAGAGGACATCTAGAACATTGCCTTTAATGCCTTCTCTATATGGGTAGCATTCAAGCTCCGCTGTGCCTTGGCATTTCATAATGCTAACAAAGTAACTGGTTGCCTAAAAGCAGTACATTGCAGACCTATGCCTTTATGGGCCAAACTGAGTATTTAGCTCTCATGCTCTGTGAGCTTGGAGACGATTGGTATTACTTTGGATATCATGGTTCACATGCTCCCAGCAGGTATATACACTTGCCAGGTACACAAATGGATTATCTGCGGTTACTTCTACCAATACGCGAGCACTGTTTCATCAAAATAACATGGGCAATGCCTGAGCAGCTGTTACCGTCAGCTTTGCTTTACAGCTTTCGGCACTGATAGTGCCCCATCCTTGCGCTTTTGACCCTTTGCAGTAGGAGCATCCAATGCTTTTGACGGTTCCTTGGCTGGCGCACTACATGTTGAGGTAGTTAGCAACATGAAAGCAGTAAGGAGGTCCAACGAGGGTCACATACCTTGCACCATTCTCAACTGCTTCCAATAATTCACCAACCATCCAGTGGACATCACGCATGCTACGGGACCACGACTGGATATCTGTTGCAATGGATAAGCCCACGAGGCAGGCTATAATCTGGCAAATCCCGTTGGCACTGGGTATGAGCATTGTAGACCAATCTCTTGTGCCTGGAGGCACAGGATGCCCATCTGCGTTGCGCGTCCGCCACTCAGGATTACATGCACTCCACCATTGAGTGAAACAGTTACTGTATGTAGATTGATCACTTTGCTCGACATGAAACCAGGGCTTTTGCGCTCGCCCAACCCACCATGCAACTTCCTTGGGACGGCCTGCCGCAGTAAATCTGCGCAACTGGAAGCGTGTTACACTCGACATTCATAGTTCAAATAATAGTGTGTGTACCGCATATGCAAACTCCATTGCCGCCTCAAGCTGCACCCAGTCATTTAGCAACTGCCGCCACGTAGCTTGCATATCGGATACAATCTCTTCCCGCACGAAACTGGTGTAGATAGGTGTAATCCAGCGTCCTCCGTCAGGCATTTTGTCGAGCTTTAAAGCCCATATGGCCTCAGAGCTCCCACCACCAGCCTGCAGTCCTAGCGGCCTGGCGACGCTGTCTTCTTGTTCATTAACAACGCTCTCTGTGGCATTTGTAACCACTGTGTTAGGATGAGGATGGTCAAGAGAGGTGTCGATCTGATCGACAAGGGCTGCAGAAAATGACTGTTCCTGCTGAATGGGACTGTCAGTGTGTAGGTTTGTGCTGGCAGCGTCAGCAGAGGGGCTCAGCTGGGTATGAGCGAGTGCGGCGGGCTCGGACAATTCCAGAACTTGGGAGGGAGTCGGCAAGGGAGAGGGCAAAGGCAAGGAAGAGGATGAGGGCAAGGTGTTGTGTTGTGAGATAGCAGCCCGCAAGCGAGTGTTGGGAGGAGAAAGGCGCATGTCATCAGGATCTGATGGAACATATTTGTCTTTGGCACCTGCTCTGCATGTGGCATCTGGCGCCTTTGGTCCCGTTGGTCCAGCTCCGAGATTCAGCTGCAGTTGAAGCAGCTTGAGCCTCGCAATGTTGTTCTCCCTCTCCCATTCAAACTCTTTGTCTTCTCCCTCTATGCCGACAGTATTCAACCGCGCAATCTCCTTCTTCCTATCCTTCACCAACATCAACAACAACAGCTCGTGCAGCTCACGGCACGCCCTTTCTGGTACCGCAGCCGCTGCCTTTGGTCAGGGAACTCGCGACGAGCTGGCGGTCAGTACAGAGTTTTCAGCGAACGAGCTGCTGTCATTCTCAGCAGTATCAGCACCCTCCTCCTCACGCAGCGAGAGCTCTGTGTCATGAAGGCAATAGTGCCGATCTCCTGGCGCTATTCTGGCACTGTCTGCCGGTGGTTGATAGCCTTCTGACATAGGTAAGTTTAGCACTCCAGCAACTATGCACTGACTGAATCACCTTTTGTTGCCACTAGAAACTCCATGACGAGAGGAAAGATTTGGGTCTTGAAAGTGACCAGGTGAAATTGGAACCAGTTGCAGAGTGATGGTTCGTTTGTCTTTCCATAGTTTACTGCTGCTACTAAGAAGTCTTGTTTCTCGTTGTCGTCTTTAGGTGGAGTCCCAGCGAGCAAGGTTCAATTCTCAAGCCCAGTATATTCTGCAAGCAGGCTGAAGAACAGCTGTAGCACAGAGGCGAGATGGTCATGTGCTCTACCACATTGGTAAGTATCATTCATGGTGTCATACAGCGTGAAAGACTCACTGTGCTTGCACCGCAGGATCGCTGGAAGGCTCTCCCTTACTCGCCTCCTTGTGTGCCTTTGATACTTCTTCCCACTTCACCTCTGCCCTTGCTTCCCATTCCGCCTGCACGTCCTCCGGCTCCACCTCAAACAATTCTCTCACAATCTGATTCCTCTCTGCCAGAGTCTCCGCAGGATTCAGACAATTCCTACTTGTGAATACCTGGTTGAGATGCTCGACATTGCTGGACAGGTACATTTAGGTTACCGACGGCTTCTTTGGAGGCCCGAGTGGCTTTTGAAGAGCCTTGAGCATCGGTTCGAAAGGGTTAGACCCTTTTGACCAACTTTGCCGATTGTACTGGTAGTTGTACCATGCCTTGATGTGCTAGTACAACCTATAAGACTTTTCGTTCTGCTTCTACAATGTGAAGACTTATGTTGTTGACAGCTTAGATCAGCTGTTCCTTCTCCCAATCTTTTGCTTCCTCGCTCCAAGCAATCTTGACATCCTTCAACGAGAAGCATTCCCAAAACTTTGCCCGGAGATTGAACCATAGCTGCTCGAAAGCCCGGACCTTCCCCTGCTTCATCACTCGGATCGCGTCGTAGTGGTACCGGTAGTCCTCAAGAAACTCGGTCATCTCGCCTTTGAACTTCCCAGGATTGCCGGCTTTGCTGCCGACGGTAGTGTCATGTTTGGCCTTCGTCTTCGACTTGCGGATTGCGTGAATGAGAGCATTGTCAACTTCGTCATCATCTATCCCATCTTGCTTGTCCTGCTTATCTTGTTTGTCTGATTGTTCATGCTCTTGAAACTGATTAATATTGACAGAATTTACTTGATGCCTAGGCAATAGTGGGCTGGCCGCCGACAATGATGGCTGGGGTGCGGCAGGCAGCTGGAGAGCAGGTAATGGTGACTGGGATGCAGATAATGATGGCTGGGGCGCAGATACTGATGGCTGGGGTGCGCTCGGCAGCTGGGACACAGACAACAATGTCAGGGAAGCGACCGGCGATTGAAACATGTCTGGCGACAACTGGAGCATGGACGGTGGCTGGGATGCGACCGACGGCTGGGACGCGTCTGACAGCTGCGGTGCAGATACTGATAACTGGAGCATGGATGGCAGCTGGGACATGGGCAATTGCAAAGAGGGGATCAGAACAATGCGTAATCGAGACTGACTATTGGCAAAGGGTGTACACTCGCTGCAAGCGTCGGCACCCTGAGGGCTGTTTACTGAGCTTAGGGTGTGGCTACGCAGGTGTGCCTTACGATAATCCTTTATCGGCAAAATTACTCACATGTTCATAGTTGCCTGCATAATCTGTAGGCATTCTGTGCTATCGTCCAGGCCGGGTGGTTTGCTCTTGCGCCGCCCGTGGTCGATTACATCGGCGGAACGATCGATGTGCACATGTGTTCCTGCCACCACAGAATTTTGTTTCCACACAGAACGGTGAGTGCATTTAACCCCCGCGTGTTGTGGCTGTCCCTGCCCGTTTGACCTCCTCTCCCCCAATTTCCCCTCTGGCTCGTCCCTCTTTCTCTGCCCGTCATACAAAAGAAGAGGGCAACAACCATTCTTGCAAGCCTTGTCACTTTCCGCACGCATGTGGTGGTATCAAGTACGTCTGCCTTATTCATCCAGGTGTCCAAGTTCATTGCACTGAGTTCAGGTATGGTCGCAAATCTGCTAGTCTTTGTCAGTCGCTGTTCACCACCCACTCTGCCCGCTGCACCCAATTAGCCTGTTGCACCCACTGCACAGCCGCAGCAGCTTGCCAACGCATGCACGTAAGTTATCTCAAACTCTGTACATTTTACTCACTGATATCTTGGCTCCACTGCTAGCAGCAACATTGATTTGCACGGTTTCCACGGTCGTGAGACTGAGGTTCCCGAAGGCAGTCCTTTGCCATCATCACCGACAGATTACACTGGTCCATGGTGGCGAGTGTCTCAGGGATTAGTAAGCACATCTCTCTCATGCGTTATGTCATACTGAAACATTATTTAGGAACCTTGTTGCGTAGTTACATGCAATCTCGCAATTTCACCATGTCCGATGCGATGTGTGACGCATGGATTCTCACTTGCACGCTGACGCTGTGTTGGATCTGGTCTCAGAGTTTCCCCCGCTATCCCTTGTTATCCCTGTCGACGAAGTTGCCCACTGTATGCTGCACTTGCAGGTGCCAGAGCCCTCCACTCCCAGCGACAGTTCACAGTCCATGCCACTGACGAGGTTCCGGAGCAGTATCCACCGACTCCCGACTCTCCAGCTTGAGTCATCGTTCGCAGCATTTGTCGTGGCGTTCAGTACTACTGGTGAGTCATGGTCTTGATGGCGTTGTGCTGCAAATCTCTGCTTACCTGTTCATCACAGACATGCACATGAAGAGGCTAGGGCACACATCTGTGCCCCTGATGCTTAGGGCTTTCCAGCCCTGCATGTGGCTTGATCATCTCACGCATGTTGGCTTTCTTTCGTATTAGTCTCACTTATCAAATCTGCATGTTTGTGCCTGTATCTATGCCACCGCGGAGGTAGTCGTGCACCCCGCCGCACTCCTCCTCGTCGCCAACATGATAGCTCTCCAACCCGTACATGGCCCTCGCCTTATCCTCGGCGGCATTCAGAACGCCTTCCAGGTCGTCTGGGCCAAGCGCTGTCTGCACGACCTCCAGCGCTGATGTGACATCGTGTGCGTAGTCTGTTGGTGTAAAGTCGTAAGTGGCCATGTACTCTGCCACCTGAATACGCTCTGCCCCACTCGCCCTCTCATACTGTCCCTGCGTGCGACAAGAGGCGCATATACTCTCATCGTGAGAACTGAACTTGCCCTCACGATATGTTTTGTACTTGTACTCACGGCCATCACGCGCGGTGGTGACTTTGAGAGCATTGTTGCGCTCAGGCGTGCTCAATTCTACATGGATGGGATGGAATGGGATGGGATGGTTTTGAGCCAGCACACGGTGGCTGTGGCTTTCCCGTTGATGGCGTAGATTATCCGTGAGACATGAATCAGACATAGATCTGTTCCTAACCTGCCATCCCACCTTCGAGTTCCACCTGCTTTCAAAACAAGTAAGTCCATTTGTACGAGACAAACAGAGACCGTTCACAATGACTGTGAGGTGGAGGGAATAGTTCGCGCAACACACTGTCCAGTATGCAATGGAGAGAGAGAAATTGGGTCAATATCACAGAGTGGTGCCTGGCAGAGGTTCTTTAATGCCGACATATGCCTATATACCATGACAGGCTGCAGATACCGCAACGAGCACATCGTGCAAAGAGCTCGCAACGACAGCAGTGATTTCAAGGACCTCGAATGTTGACCCCAATAACATTCAAGCCTTCATGTAAAATCATGTAATTCCTCAACTCACTTGCTAATAAGTATCATGGCCTTACAACCACATGCTGAATACACCAATTAGTTCGGAAAGATATTTGCTTGGCTCAACAGAAATTTTTGGCACAGGTCCCAGTATATGGCCTGTATCCTAGCGCACTCTATGCTGGGGACAGCGCTGGGTGCCGTACCAGGGAGTTGGCCACTAGGTGCTCGACCAGCAGGTCAGTATGCGGCTGCTTTTGCAAGTGCAGTGCAGACACTCCTGGCATGACTCACTAGTTTTGCATAGCTCCCATGGTATAACTTGACTCTGAGCATATTACTTGGATTTTGCGGGACATGGGGTTATTGTTTGCTTGCGAGATAACAGCTTTGAGAGGCTCACTTGGTCAAAGTCCACAACTGCACTGGAGTCCACAACTGCACCAGAGTGGTCGATGGCGCCTGAGTACTGCGCAGCAAAAAGAAGCACTGGCTTGCTGTGGTGTATACCTGCCTCAAGAAATCCACTTTCTTCTCTCTCTGTTGCAGAATATACAGCACCTTGAGCAAGTTGCCCCCTCCTCTATTTGTTTCGTACAAAATAGACTTACTTGTTTTGGAAGCAGGCAGGACTCGAGGGCGGGATGGCGGGTTAGAAACAGATCTATTTCTGATTCATGTCTCACGGATAATCTACGCCATCAACGGGAAAGCCACAGCCATTGTGTGCTGGCTCAAAACCATCCCATCCCATCCATGCAGAATTGAGCACGCCTCTCGACACAAACGGTCGATGGTTCTAATAAGCTGTCTGCCTGATGTATATGATAATATGTTCATCTGATGCTGTTAACGAGCTGTACATATCTCATCAAGCATACAAGCCATGCTATTTGATGAGACTTTAACTTCATGTTTGGCAAACGGCTGACTTGCACATGTGGGCGTACTGCATGCGTGTGCTCGCTCTCAGGTCTCAGGCAAGTGGGACCCACAATGTATCACCTCTACTGGTGTGGCAATGTTCAGATCTGAGATACACCGGGGTGCAGCGTGACACGGACGACAAGATTGTATGCTCAAATAGGTTACCGGTAACGATGTGCCCAAATGCAATAGTTCCCACCTGTGTCTCCACACGGCAGGTCAAAATCTGGTTTGTCAAATGGTGTCGCATGCTCAGAGAGCTGACACAAGAAAGATACATTGCAGAAATCTGGTGACCTAATACGCTGCAATAAACCTCTCTTTGAGCTGTATACCTGAGCCTGATGCTGCCAGAGCTAGAGAGTGCACTTGGACATTACCAGGCTCAGTCTGTTATAGACGTTTACACTATGGTATGCAAGGTAAAAATAAGCATCCACAGTGTGCAAGCAATACCCGAGTAGCATTATACGTGAATCGACATCTGGCAGAACAGCTATGCTGATTATTGATAGTTGAGCGCATGTGTTCCTTGTGCCCCATGTTTACTTGCTACAGTCTGATTGGTACCGTCCTGGGTATAAGACACTGTAATTTATCAATCATCTATCATGTATGTAAGTACTAGATTTACAGCGTAGAATGCTCTGGTCTTGTCTCTAGTCTTGTCACATACTAAGGTGCCGTACACACACATTATGATAGCAGTGAAGTACGCTTCAGCACCATGGACTTGATATACTAGTACTTACAGACGTGAAGTCAAGATGTGTGCAATTACATATCTACCTATGATATGGCAGTAAATATATTCTAGAATGTTGTACAAGTGTGCACGCCACTGTACATCAGCACTCAGGCACGGGCAAGATACGTGTAATGATCACTAACGGGGTTGTGCTGTTCGGATGGGACAGATAGGTATTTGTGCGTCCTAGACTCGGAGGACTATTTGCCTTAGAATAGTATGAAAGAACAAACTGGACATGCCACAGTGCTCTACACGTGTGTACAATACTGCGTGCAGTTGTGCACAGGCGACAGATTCATAGCCGTGAGCTCTGAAATCATTCTTGTTCTGATGGCACTGACTGCTACCACAGCATTCTGAGTCTCACTTACTTCGATGGTTAGTGGCAAATGTTCCAACGAGAATTTTACTGCGTTTTGCATGCTGGTATACTAGTGGATACACTCCCAGCCGAGGAGTGTATCTACGATTCCGAGCGCACTTGTATATCACAACTCAGGAAAGCTATATGTCCATCTCCAATGTTTTCAGAAAATACTCTAGGTCAGTACAACTCAGTAGCAAAGTCCTAAAGTGCTGTGCCTGGTCATGTATTTCATGAAAGGCCGGCAACCGACGAATATTTCTGTAGGGTGATCCCAACGTGCGCCATTCTTCTTTTTCAGGTAACAATTGGGCGCAAACGCACTGCGACTTTGTTTCTCCAGGCTAACCTCACGGCCAACATTGATGACACCGATTACGCCTGCCCTTGATAGACTTCTTGTGCTACGCAGCCTGGGGCAGCATGGCCTAGAGCTAGAGGCTGCTAGAGGAGGCAAACTGGTAAGTGGCTGTCTGCCACGTCATTGATAGACATGAAGGCCCCTTTTTCTTGGTTCACTTTTCATTGACCTGTACATCCGTCAGAATGCACGCATGCGCCTTTTTGTTGGCGAGGTATCAACAGCGTTGCCACAGCTAACAGTGAACATGATCAATTCAGCTGGTGGCGGCGACCCGCCGTCGCAGCCCTGCTGTGCGACGTTCCGTGGCCAGACCGATTGGCCGCGATAGCATGCGACTACTGTCAATAACACAGTTTGCTCCATCACAGTAAGTGTCTTACCTCTTACTCGATGGCACTCTTTCACTCCTATCTTCATTGCATTCAGTGCCATTTTTCATTATGTATGAGAGAGCTAGACATGACATTGTTTCATTGAATATGAACCATCCTTCTGAAAGCCAGAGTTACACATGTTTCATCTTGCATGTAAAGGCCATAAATTTGCTTAGCAGTGAGCAGT